GGGGCTGCTGGGCAATGGGCTGGTGCTCTACCTGCTGCAGGCGCGCCAGGCCCGGCCGGGTCCTGCCATCGACGTCTTCGTCTTCAGCCTGGCGCTGGCCGACTTCCACTTTGCCCTGACGCTGCCTTTCTGGGCCGTGGAGACGGCGCTGGACTTCCGGTGGCCTTTCGGCCCGGCCATGTGCAAGCTGGTCCTCACCCTCACCATTCTCAGCGTCTACGCCAACGCCTTCCTCCTCACCGCCATGAGCGTAGCCCGCTACTGCTCCGTGGCCTCGGCCGTCAGGCCCGGCCACAAGCTGACGCCCGCTGTGGCCCGCTGGATCTCTGCCGGCCTGTGGGCGGCTGCCGCGGGGGCCACGGCACCCACCACGGTTTTCGCCACAGTGGCAGAGGTGGCCGGGGAGCGGCTCTGCTTGCTCAAGTTCCCCAGCCCACGCTGGTTGGGTCTCTACCACCTCCAGAAGGTGCTCCTGGCCTTTGTCGGGCCGCTGACTGCCATCTCTGTCTCCTACCTGCTGCTCCTCGGCTTCCTCCGGCGGCACCGTGTCGGTGCCCGGGATCACTGCGGGCACCGGGACCGCGTGGCCGCTTCGGTGCGGCTGATGGTGGCTGCCTTCTTCGTGTGCTGGTTCCCCAACCAGGCCGTGACCTTCTGGGGGGCGCTGGTCAAGCTGCAGGCTGTGCCATGGAACAGCAGCTTCTACATGCTGCACACCTACATCCCCCCCCTCACCACGTGCCTGGCGCACAGCAGCAGCTGCCTCAACCCCGTGCTCTACTGCCTCATGCGCCGGGAATTTCGGCAGGCGCTGAAGGAGGTCAGCGGGAAGCTGCTGGCCATGCCCACCTGCCTCTGTTGCCCACGGGAGGAGCAGCCGCCAGTTGCCGTGCTCCTGAGCCCGCGGGACAGCCCCAGTGGCGCCGTGCTAGGGGCCGAGAAGGGGTACACCTTGATGTCCACCAGCACCACCGCCCTGGATCCCAGAGCCAGGGACAATGCCCAGCCTGGGGAAGCAGGGATGGGAGCCGCTGAGTGAAAGCCCAGGACCGGGTGGAGGACGCTGGGTGCTCCTGGCATTGCCCATGCCAGGAGTTGTTGCCCACGCTGCTGGCATCTAGCCAGCCGTGGGTTCTTGGCATCTCCAGCCAGCCGTCCGGCGATGTCCCAGCTCCTAAAGGCCTGGGCAGGTTTCTTTTGCTTGGATTCTCCTCCTTCCAGCTGCCTCAGGAAGGGCAAAGCATCTCTCAATCTGGGCCGTGTCCCCACAGCACCAGCTCCAAGCCCCCAGCCCATGCCAGCCTCAGCAATGCTGCATGGCACCACCGCTGAGCGCAGGCGAAGGAGGGTCTTCCCTGCAAATGGACACATCCCTTGGCCCCTCAGCCCGCACTGACTGCAGAGACCTGGCAGGCTCAGTGCACAGGAGCCGGGCTGGAAATCCAGGTGGGTTGGTTGCTCTGTAGTTACCACCTCCGCAGGGACGCAGCCTAGATCTGGAGCATAGTCCAACAGGCCGGCTTCCCAGCTCGCGGGCTCCCACAAGTACCGATGGACTCCAAACAGTCTCAAAGTCTAAACCTGGGTGGGACTGCGGCTTGCGCAGCCCGTAGCAGAGCAGAGATTAATGAGAGACTGTGCAGGGCCCTGGCATGTGGTTCATCCTCGCGCTCCTGCGTGCTTGGGAACGCAGCGTCCTCACGCCAAGGACAGGCATGCAGCCAGACTCCTTTGGTGGCACGTTGGCACCCGTGGGGTTAAACTGCTGCCCTCTGAGAGCTACTGAAGTCCAACAGGACCGTGCATGGGAGAGGGAGAACAGGGCAGAAGTTTGGGTTGATTTCCCATCAAAATGGTTAAATCACGCTTCTCTAGGGATAAAGGCACTCTAATACCAGGGTGCTGCCTTCCCCCTCCCTAGTGGGCCCTCCTCCCTCTGCCCAGGTATCACAAGGGGCTCTTCCACATTAATTAACTTGTGTTAATTAAACCAGCCGCCTAGGAACCATGACGTACTTTCCTGGCCAACGTGCTCCTGGCTTTGGGACGCACCCACATGCGAGCGCAATAAAGGATCATCCATCAAGGGGGAAGTTTCAGCAGGGTGATAAGCTCTGTGGCCTGGGAAAAAACCTGTTGTCCCAGGCCGTGGTGAGGACAGATTTTCTGTTTACCCAAAGGTAATTTTTATGACAGGAAAGTGCATAGCACTGATTGCCTGGAGAAGCGGTGAGATACCAGGAGGGTAATTGCCCTGGTGCAAAGATAAAAGCAGAGACCCCATATCAATGCCTAGTGCCTCCATCAGCAGCAGGTTTGTTTCCCACCGAGATCACAGGCCCCCAAATGAATGGGCTGTTTTTTCTGCAAGCTCAGTGGGCTCAGCCGTGACCCTCAGGATCACAGCGGGCACAGCAAACCAGCGACCACTAACCCCATGCCAATGTCGCGTTAAATAGATGTGTTGTAAAACCAGCCATTGAGGGGTCCCACATCTCCTCGTGACCCACAAATGCATTGGCTGGCAGCTCCGGGATCTGGCCACGGCTAAAAGGGAACATGGTGAGCGCCATGCGAGGGCTCACGTGGGGTTTAAAGCTCCACAAAGGGGCTGGGAACATGAATTACCCCTGGGATGGGGAGAACAGGGTGCAGGGGGAAGTGGGGCTGGAGTCACGTGGTGGCCTGCACTGTTGTGGTGGGCCGAGACATTCCACCCCAGAGCTGGCTGCATTGCAAGGGTGAGAGAAGGGATTCCTCTCCGTACAGACTGCACCGGAGGAGGGGCATTACACACACATGCACACGTGCGCGCACACACACGCACACACATGCCATCCTCTTACCAACATTATTTGGCAAAGGGAATTACAGCAAGCAGCAAGGCGGGCACTAGAAGGGGTCTCAAGACACCTGGGTTCCCTCCCTGGCTCCTGCCCTTCCCACCTTGACCAAGTCACTTCTTTCCTTTGTGCCTCAGTTTCCCCCTCCCCAGACCTTCCAGGGCTGGGAGCTCTTTGCAGGACAGCCTGTGCTTCTGCCATGACCTGGGATGAGGCCCTGCCCTCAGGCAGCCTCTGGGCTCAGAGCACCCTGGGGTGGAAATAGCAGGCCGCCCTTGGCGGGTGCGGTGCTGGCCGTACCCCCAGCCAGGCTCTGTCTGGTGCTGAAGACACCCCCACCAGCAACCTCTGACATGGGGCCTCGCACCCCTAGGATAGCTCAGCCTGGGGGACAGTGCCCCATTGCCCCCACCTCCTTCCCTGCCTGCCAGTGCCATGTTGGTCACCCATGGGAGAATGAGGCTTGGTGCGCTAGGTGCTGTACATGCCCATGGCCCACCACAGGGAGCCTGCAACCTTGATCTATGAGGCTGATGCCCATTGCATAGCTGGGGAAACTGAGGCACAGAGACAAGAAGGAACTCAGGCATGGGGGAATCCTGACTCTCCTGTCCCCTGCCCTAACCACTGGGATGCCCTCCTCTGTATCCAAGAGGGGAACTAGAGGCAGCTCTTCTGGGGAAGGAAGGGCTGGGCTTCCACCTGGAGAGAACTGGGTTCAAAGCCTGGTGCTCCCACAACTCTTCCCTTATGGGGAGGCTGCCACAGCCGCAGAAACACCTCCTCCCTCCCCACCAGCCTCCATCCTGCCCCAGGGGCAAGAAGCGGGGTCCCAAACTTCACTGCTTCACCCATCCTGGCCCCTCTGTTGGCCACAGAGGCAGTGCCATGGCTGCCTGGAGCCTCCCTTCTCTGGGGGCTGCAGACTCGCGTCTCCCTGAAGCAGCCACTCAGCTCCCTCTGCAGTCACGGGGCTCCGGGTGCGGGAGATTCCAGGAGCTGAGACCCACGACCCCATCGGCCTTCGCTGGGAAGGGGAGAAGATGGAGCCCAGCCCCTACTCTCCAGCTGGAGAAGCATCAACTTCCCAGCAGCCCCACTCCTGGCTGGCCAGGTCAGGATTTGAACCCCGGACCCTTCCGGCAGGGGGTCCCACAGGTCACCTTCTCCATGGGTTTCACCTGCAAAAAGGGGCTGCCTCCTAGCTCTTATCTTTGTGCTGCTCCACAAAGAGCTCCCAGCCCAGGAAGAACTGGGGGGAAACTGAGGCACAGAGGGAACAAGTAGCTTGCCCTAGGTCACCTGGCTGGGAAGGGCAGGGGACTGGGCAGGAACCCAGGTGCCCCGAGACCCCTTCTTGCACCCGCCTTGCTGCTTAGGGCAATTCCCTTTGCCAAACAACACTGGTGATATGTTGTGTGTAGCTGGGGCAGGGGGACGGGGCTGCCCCTGTCCCCAGGCACTAGGACCAGCCCTGCATGGAGAACCCGCTGGATTCCTGTGGGGCCCAGAGCTTCCTTTCTCTACCTCTGGTGCCTCCAAATCCTCCCCGAGCCTGGAGCAAAGCCCTGCGAGGAGCCTGGAGGGGAGGGGACCAACCCCAGCTGGGCATAAACCAGCACAATTGCTTAATTGCCCAGTGAACGCCCTCCTGCCAGCCCCCCCTAGACAGCAGGGGCCTGGGGTATAATTGGGCTGTTCTAGTCCCTGGAGCACAATGAGTTTTAATTTCCTCCCTGCCATTTAACGAGCTGGCAGCAGGGGCTCCTTCGTGCCCAGCTGCAGTAATTACTGCCTGGCTCTTTCCGGGGGAGCTGCTTTGCCATCGCTCCAAGTGTTTGCCCCAGACAAACAGCTGCTAATGAGCCCTCCCAGCTCACCTGGGATGGCCAAGTTGGGGGGCTCTGGATCAGGGCACCCCTACTCTGCTGTGGGGGGGTTTGCCCAGGGGATTTGGGATCCACGCGGCATGGAGCAAATCACTACAGCTAGAAAGGGTCTGAGGGAGACATGATCATAGGATCAGGGGCTGGAGGCCATGCAGCTCCAAGCACGGCAGGGAGCAGCTAATGGGACCCGCATGGACTAAGGGATTTAGAGGCTTTATAGTGATTGCTCTGGGGGGGGGAGGCAGGGAGGGTCCAGCTGGGGCCATTGTCACTTGTCATCCTGCTGCAGCTGCATCAGCTCCCGGTGGATGGTGCCGAAGGAGGGTCGGAGGCTGGGCTGGGCTTCCCAGCATCGCAGCATCAGGTCACAGAGCTCTGCTGGGCAGCGTGCCGGGGTTCGCAGCCGCAGCCCTGCCCGGGCCAAGGGGGTCGGGAGGCGTCACCCCCATGATGTGCATTGGAGCAGAAAGCAGGACTGCCTGGTCCCAGCCCCCCTGGGGAGAGGGGATCGGACCAAGGCCCTGCAGGGGAGGCAGTGGCAGAGCTGGAGTCACCCCCCCCACCCCATCTCCCCACATCTGGTGCCTGGCCCAGCCACTCACCGCGCTGCGTCTGGCTCAACACCTGCTTGCTGGACAGGCCGGGGTAGGGCGCAGCCCCCAGACTGAAGATCTCCCAGAGCAGGACCCCGTAGCTCCAGGTGTCACTCTCCGTCGAGTACCGACCTGTCACAGAGAGGGCGTGAGCCCTGGTCCTGGTGCTTTGAGCCCCAGGGCGATGGGGAGGTTCAAAAAAAGAAGGGGGCCCTCAAATCTGCCACCCCTCCCTAACCCTGACCCTCCCCTCCCAGTGCCCTAGGCAGCATGCTCTACTTATGCCCGGGCCCCCTGGCAGCTCCTTCCAGCCAGAGACCATCCAGCCCCCGAGCCCTCGACCTTCACTCAGCGCCTCTGGGGCTGTCCACTTGACCGGGACATGCTTCCCGCTGCCGTTGCCCTCCTGCCACGACAGGCCGAAGTTGCTGATCTTCAGCATGTTGCCTTCCCCCAACAGGCAGTGGTGGGCAGCCAGGGCCCTGCGGGGCAAGGGGGAGGATGGAGGTACCCAGGGAGCAGGTAGGAGGGTGTTGGGGGCTGTGGGTAGTAGGGGTCTGGGGCTGTCTCCCCTTGACTGCAGCCCCCGGGGTCCTGTACCTGTGGACGCAGTGGTGGCTGGCCAGGTAGGCCATGCCAGCGGCGGCCTGAATGGCAAAGCAGAGGAGGTCCTGCACCCACAGCCGGCAGCCCTCGCAGCGGAGGAAGGACAAAAGATCCCCCCCTGGAAGGCAGGGACAGCAGCGGGGTGTACAGTCAGCAAGCCTTTCCCCAGTCAAGGCTGAATTTGAACCCACAGCCTCCTGGGCATGACTGCACGGATGCAGGGGGAGGGTGGTATTGCACCAAGCATGGCGATGAGAAGAGGGGGACCCAGCTCACCCGTCACCAGCTCCATGACAATGAAGACGGGCGGCTGGCGGGCACAGGCGCCCACAACACAGACGATGTTGGGGTGGCGGTACCGTCTCAGTGTCCTGGCAGGGGGCAGAGACACAGAAGCATCATCCACACTCATGCCTCTTGGCTGCAATGCATCTGCTGCCCCAAGCTCGGGGAGGGGGGAAAAACCCTAAGGATCCCCCCAAGATGAGCTGAGATAAAACCCGCAGCCAGAGCCCTGAGGCCTGAGATGTCAAAACTGCAGAACCCCAGTTCAGGGGCAGTCCCTCAGACCCAGGCTGACCTGGCCTGCTGAAGGAACCGGGCCTTGGTCTCTGGGCTTAGGGGCTCCCTGCAAATCTTCACGGCCACGGGGGTGTTGTCATGCAACAGGCGCCCGCTGTACACCTCCCCGAAACTGCCCTGTGGGGTGAGGGAGAGGGAGGGGAGAGATCCAAGTGGTCTGGACATGGGCAACCAGAGCAGGAAGAGAGCACGGTGGGCACTACCACGTGGGCAAACCCAGCTGGGTCCTTGCTCCCCCAGAGCCAGTTGCAGGGGGGAAAGGGCCGGACAGTGTTACCAAGGGTCAGCCACCAGACTTGGGACAGCTTTGGGTGCCCTCGGCTCCGGGCACGGCTCTGGGCACAATGGAGCCAGGCTCTGGCCAGCCAGCAGCAGTTCCTGTGCAGCCCAGGGCAAGATTTCATAGATTTTATAGACATTAGGGGCTGGAAGGGACCTCGCAAGATCATCAAGTCCAGCCCCATGCCAGAGACAGGAAGTCTGCTGGGGTCAAATGATCCCAGCAAATGCCTTTTGAATGAGTCCAGAGTAGGTGCTGGCACCACCTTTGAGGGGAGTCCAGACCTTGGACACTCAGACTGTAAACATTTTTTTCCTTATGCCAAGTCTGAATCGTCTGTCTAGAAGTTTGTTAGACCTAGTTATCCCTTGGGGAGCCCTGGTGAACAGCTGTTCTCCCAGATCCTGATACCCCCCCTTATGTACTTATAGGCAGCCACCAAGTCCCCCCTGAGCCTTTGCTTCTCCAGGCTGAAGAGTCCCAAGTCCCTCAGCCCATGAACAGCGCATGTCCCTGGAGGCGGGGGGGCACGGCAGTGGCAGGAGCATGGCGGTGGTAAGCAGGGCAGCTCCCACAGATGCCGCTGGTGCTGTCAGCAGCAGGGGTGGCGAGCGCCAACCAAGGGTTGGTGACCACCCGCAGCTGCAGCCAGCAGTGGTGGCAGCCAGCAGGGATCGCGGACCGCCTGCAGATGCCGCCACCTTTTTATAAGGCTTGCTCTCCTGGCCTTTGATCATAAAGGTGGCTCTCCTCTGTACTCTCTTGAGCTTATCCACATCCCTCCTGAAGTGGGGGGCCCAAAACTGGATGCAGTACTCCAGCGGCACCTTCACTAAGGCTGAGTAGAGCGGGAGGATGACGTCTCTGCCTTTGCTTTGCCAACTGCGGCATCACATTGGTGGCTCATATTTATCTTGTAGTCAGTCAAGACCCCCTATTTTCTTTCAGTCGCGGTGCTAGCAAGCGTAGCACTGCCGAGCCTGTAAGTATGTTGCTGGTTTTTCCTCCCAAGGCGGAGCACCCTGCACTTCTCGACATTGAATGCCATCAGGTTTTGGTCTGCTCACCTTGTGAGCCTGTCTAGGTCGGCCTGTATCCCCACCCTATCCTCCAGTGTGACCACCTTCCCCCATAGTTTAGTGTCATCTGCAAACTTTGCCAGTCGACATCTGATGCCTGAATCCAGATCAGTTATGAAGATGTTGAAGAGTACTGGCCTGAGTACTGAGCCCCGAGGGACACCATTGGTCACCTTGCGCCAAGTTGATTTGCTCCCATCAACTAATCCTCTTTGGGTCTGACCCCGGAGCCAGTTCCCACACCGCGCTCTCTCCAGCGGGGCAGATGGCAGTGGCTCAGTCACTGACAACCAGGCTCGATGCTGGAGCTGATCCCCAGACTGTTCCCCCCTTATGGAGAACCCGGCTGGGGCATTGCGGCTTCACTCACGCAGCCCAGCAGCTCCCCTAGCACCACGTCCTCCGGGCCCAGGTTCCATTTCGCCTGCAATAGAGGAAACCCTTGGATGGGTGTGATCCTGCCCCACCACCCCGAACCCTCATGATGGAGACCCTCAGCACATTTTGGCAGCCCCGGCTCTCTCCCCACCGCCCATACCCTGGCTCCAGGCCGGTTTACCTTGATCACAGGCTGGCGCAGGAGAAAGGGGCACTTCTGGGTGAGCCCCTGGTGCGACTGCAGGTAGAGATGGATCAGGGCAGGGATGCTGGGAGCGGCAGCACCCATGGGCTCCAAGCAGTACTGGCCCTGGGAGGGGGAGCACATGGGGCAGCGGGGTTGCCGTACATGAGGCCTTCAGGTCCATGGGGAATCAGAACCCAGCTACGTGTCATGAGCCCCGTACTGCTCATGAACCAAGGGCAATTCTCCTTCAGGAGGGGAAGCTGGAGGATCCATGTTCTAACCATGAAGCTCTCCCAGAGCCAGTGCCGGGCAGTGGGGCAATGGCCGTGAGACCCAGGCAGCTCCTGGCTGATTACCATCACACACACCCGCCTATCTAAGGGTCTCAGAGGGCACCTGATGGGGCCAGAGGCAGGGGCTCCTCTGGGCTGTGCAGAGTCCTGGCTGTGGGATGGGCCCCTTGACTCACAGCAGCAAATTGGCATCGCTGCTCCCATTTTACAGGTGGGCAAATTGAGGCTTGGGACTAGAACCTGGGGCTAGACCCCGCCCCCAAGCCCTTACATTGCAGCTCTGGATGATGAAGTGTCGACACTGCCCTCCAGCCATCACGGATAGGACACACTTGTCCGGCTGTCCCTGGCTTTCCCGCACCAAGAAGTCGCCCTCACCTGCCAGCAGGGCCAGAGCCTCCTGCCGGGGGATGGAGCCGTGGTACCAGTCCTGTTGGCTCAGGGGCTTCTGGGCTGCCGGGACCAGGGGCACCGGAGGGGGTAGCTTGCAGGGGTGAGGAAAGAGAGCAGAGAACGGGCAGGTCAGAGGCTTGGCCCCAGCCCAGCACCTGGCCCTGCTTGCCAGCAGCTCCTTGATCTCCCCATACCCGGATGGGCCGGAGGGGACGCAGCTGGGCATAGCGGCAGCCCCAGGCCTGCTTATGGCAGGCAGCGCAGGTCATCCTTCAGCCGCTCGCAGCGTGTACAATCCCACCCTGCAGCCTCCTGTGAATGACTGGGGGGGGGGGCACCATGACATCATTAGGGGACATTATGATGCTACAATGACTTCAGTGACATTGGATGTCACCATGGGTGACCGGGGATCCCCTGGGTCAGAGGGACAGGGAAGCCAGCAGCTTGCCAAGAGGTCTGGGTCTCCTACACCATCCCCTTTGTAACCTGCCCCCCTCCTGCCCCCAGCAGCACAGAGGTGCCTTTGCGGGGTGTCTGGAAGTCTCTGGGCCTTGGAAGCAGGATTGGGCTCCCCTGGTGCTGTGCTCCCAGCACCCCCAGAGGCCGGGCACGTGGGCAGGGCCCAGCCCCTTTGGTCTGCACTTTGCTGGCTGGGGGTGGCGGGTGGGGAAGGTACCAAGCTGCTCAGTTTTACTTCCTGGGGGCTTCTGAGGAGGAGGGGATTGAGGACCCCAGGCAGGGATCTAGGCTGGACCCTGCCTCTGCCACCACTGCCCTGCTGGGCCCTTGGGGAGTCACTTAGTGCCAAGTTTGCACAGTGGAGGTCAGCGAGGCTGTCACTACAGCCCAGGGCTGGGGCCGAGCTGCCAGAAACCCCCCTGCCCTTGCCTCCCGCATTGGGGACTGACCTCCCCTATTCAGGCTGGGGGCACGTCAAGCCAAGGACCCTGTTTTGGGGAGAGTCCAGCTGCAGGAGCCAGGAGCGTCTGTCTCTCTATCTGTCCATGCATTCATCCATCCATTGGCGCTTCCATCCATCCATCCACCCACCCACCAGAGCATCCACCCACCAGGCCATCCATCCATCTCTAAAGCCACAAGGGCCAATGCAGGGGCCGATCACTGCCCCATCTCAACCCTGCAGTCCTGCAGCCAGGACTTTCTGCCCGTCCAACCCCCTTCCCTGCTCCCCCCACAGCTTCCTCCCCATTCATCCCCATTGGTGGGAGAGACCACGGGGTCCCAGCCGAGTCCAGGGAAACGAGAGGATGTCATAGACAGTCCGGATGGAAGGAAACGGAAGCAGAGCAGGGTTTGATCCTTTAATCAGGGGTTTCCCTCTTTGTACAGTGAAATCAACAGGAAGCCAACGTGGAGCCAATCCCCGCATCCCCCAACCCCATGACGATCTAGGCATTAATTAACCCCCCAGACCCCTTTGTAGCAGCAGCTTGGGGTGGTGCTGGGGCCTCCTGCTTGGCCATGGAGTGAGGGTCTGGGGGTCCCCAGGGCTGTTGGGGGTCAAGACGCTCCCCAGGAGGCTGCTGGATCACCTTTGGGGTGCAGGGAGGGGATTCAGGACCCGGCCCCTCCCCTGCCATAAAGGGCTCCAGACTTGGTGCCAAAGGGGGGTGACGCCGGGTGCATCTACCCCCTGCCACGCTGATGCCTCCGGGCTTTTCCCCCCAGGGAAAGGGTCTCTGGGATGAGGACCGCCCCCAGCACTGAGATCCAGCCCCCTCTTACCCTTCTACATCACACTCATGAGCCTCCTGCTGCGAGGCCTTGTCGTTTCCATGAATGGGCTGCTGACACATGGGGACCTGTCCCCAGGGCCGCAGGTGCCCCATAGTGTTGGCTTTGCAGCCAGGCCCCTCCAGATTAGAGTGGACCAGCTGGAACAGCCCCCGGGGCCAATGAAAAACACCTCCCCTGCCCTGCGAACGTAATAAATAAATTAATCTGCTTGGGAGCAGGGTGGGGGACCAAATTCAGCCCCTCCCCTGTCTTCTTGCAAGGGCCGGGGGCAATGGAGCCGGGGAGCAGAGAGCGACTCAGGCCCCAGCTCAGCCCAGCCAGAACGTGGTCCCCAGGAGGGGGGGCCTGGCATTGGCGCCCCCTCCCCTTGGTCTCAGGATGGGCCCCCCAGTGCCCCGTGCAGTCCCATGCAGAGAAGCAGCTGTTGCCCTGGTGGGTCCAGGCACCAGTGCTGGTCCAGGGGGTCGGGTGGGGGGTGGCGCCCCCATCTCTAGCTGTTCGAGGGAGCCCCCTCACCATCCCGCAGCTCCTGGCTGCTCTCCACCTCCTCAGGAATGTCCTGCATCCGGGGGAAATCTGGGAGAGACAGAAGCAGCCATCAGTGCCCCCAGCCTGTGACCCCGGCTGATGCCCCCCACCCCACAAGGGGCACCTGGTGGCACTAACCTCGAGGACTGGAGGGCGGGGATGGGTGGGAGGCACCGGCCTCATCCTCGGAGAGCGGGTCTAGGTCATCATCGCCCTCCCGCAGCCGCGCTGGGGGGATCAGGAAGGTCGGCTCGTCCCGGGAGGAGCTGAAGGGGCGCGGGAATGGTGGGGACAGGCTCCCCTGGTCGCTGACGTGGCTCTGGTGGGAGGAGAAGGTGCCATGAGCAAGGAGGCGGGAGCGGGGATTGAACTGGCAGCCTCAGGTCAGCAGCAGGATGAAACCCCCACCCCAAAGCCTAGACCCCTGGTCCCCCACTTGGGGACCCAGTGAGCCTCCAGAGCTGAGACCCTCCAGGCTCATTGCGCGCCCCAGAGCTTCCACCCTGCCCCCCGCCACCCTAACCCCCCAGTTCATTGTGGGAAAAGCACTAAGACCCACCAAGCTCATTGCACACCCCAGAGATGCTGATCTGTCCCCTGCTTCCCAACCTCCCCCAGTGCATTGTGAGAAGGGGAGCTGAGACGAGCCAAACTCATGGCATACTCAGCTCTGCCCCCCAGCCGAGCCCCGCCAGAGCATTGTGGGAAGGCGAGCTTGAGACCCACAAAACTCACTGCATGCCCCTGCTCCCCAGGGCATTGTGGGAAGGGGAGCTGAGACCTTGGAGGTTCCACTCTGCTTCCCCCGGTGCACTGTGGGAAGGGGAGCTGAGACCCACAAAACTCATGGCACCCCCTTGTCCCCCCCAGCAGCCACCACAGCTCATCATGGGAGGCACAGTACCTGGGGCGGGGTGAAGCTAAGGTACAGGGCGTCCCCGGCGGGCAAGCTCCGCCGCCGAGGGTCTGGACCACGTCGGGCCCCGTCCAGCTGCCGCCGGGCCTGCTCCAGCTCCCGCTCCAGGCGCAGGCGGCTCTGCTCGCTGTCCCGCAGCCGCGTCTCCAGCAGCCCCACCTCCTGCACCTTGTCCTGGCACAGTTGGCGGCAGCGGGCCAGCTCCTCCTGCACCAGCGTGTGCTGCCGCTGCAGCAACCCCAGCTCCGTGCTGCCCCGCTCTGGTGCCCGTGGCCCTGGGGCCACCCCCTCGCCCGCCTGGGACCCCGCGCGGCTCAGGCGCTCCCGCCGCTCCAGCCCCTCCTGCAGCCGTAGCTCCAGCAGCGTGTCCTGCTGCGCCACGATGGCCTGGGGGGGAAAGTGGGGCATGAGTGGGGCGGGCCTCCAGCCCCAGCCCATAATGCATTGCTGTGGGGCACCCAGGGTGGGCTCCCCACCACCTCCAGTGCATTGTGGGAAGGAAGGCTGAGACCCACCAAACTCATGCCATACTTGCTACCCCAGTGCACTGTGGGAAGCAATGCTGAGACCTGCCAAATTCACTGCACATCCCTGTCACCTCCAGTGCATTGTGGGAAAAGAGGGTGAGACCCACCAAAATCATGGCATACCCCTGCTCCCTGTTAGCCTGCCCAGGTTGCGACCCCTGCTCCAGTCAGCATCCAGGTCCCCACCACCCCCAGCACTCCCTCCGGGACCCCCAGGTCAATGCCCCCGTGTCTAGGTGCCACCCCAGACCTTAAGCCTGGGGTCTGGAGGAGGTGGCGGGGTGAGATACGAGGGGGCTGGGAGCCTGGATGCCTAGGTTCCCCAGGAGAGGAGTGGGGCTGAGCCCGTGTCCTGCTCCTGCCTTTGTGTACCCAGGGGAGCAGCAGTGCCCGCCTTGCCCACAGTGATATGCCCAGCCCCTGTCCCATGGTGGGGCAACATTGGGGGCTGCACTGACCTGCAGGCTGTGGATGGCAGTGTAGAGTGTCACAAAATGCTGGAGCACCTCCTGGGAGGGGGGAGAGGCAGCATCAGAGAGAGGGAGCTGGGGAAACTGAGGCACAGTGCTGGGGCTTGGGGGGTGGGGGGCACGATTCCCCCATAGCCACACAGCCAGGGATAGGACCCAGGTATCTTACACCCCAGACACTGCCCTGCCCTTTCATCTCCTCACCTCCTGTGGTCCCTTCTGCTGCAGCTGGTTTCCGTTCCCATCCTGGGGGGGCACAGGGAGGTCAGGCACAACCAAGCACGGTGCTCCCCACCCCTGGTGGCTCCGCCAACTGCAGAACCCAGGGGTCCTGGCTCGCAACCCCTAAGCCGCTGCCCTGTGCCCCCAGCAAGCAGCACAATCCAGGCATCCGGGCTGAGCCAGCTGGGCTCTACAGACAGGGCCAGACCCAGCTCTGCAACTGTCCCCCTCCCATGCTGCAGATGGGGAAACTGAGGCACAGCTGCCCAAACTCACACAGCCCCCCCCACAGGGACTCACCCGGGGTGCGGTGTCATGGTCAGGCCGGCTGAAGTCGAGGGTGCCGTTGTAAGGGCCAGCTTCGCCGTCTGCAGGGGGAGCAGGTGATGAGTGGGGGGGTCATGGCCTCTCCTGGGGGGGACCCACATACTGATGCCCCCCACCCAGGGCCCCAGTGAGACTCCGGCCTCCTCCAGACCCCCTGAGTGAGTTGACAGTGACATCCCCCTGGTCCATAACATGCAGGGAACCGCCCCCACTGACCAGATCGGCCCCCTCCGCCCCACTAACTGCCCCCTCAGATCAGAAATGCCCCCTCTTAGGGGCATCTGGGGCAGGTCTCTCTTGGGGTGACTGTCCCCATCACCCCCAGCCCTCTGCTGGGGTCCTGGGGGGTTCCTGCCCCACTCCTGGGGCCACATACTGGGTGCAGTGGTGGCAGTGGGGCTGGTGCCCCCGTCGGGGTCGAACTGGCTGTGGTCCCGCTCCCGTCCAGTTCCCAAAATCAGGTCCTTGAGGCACTCCACTGTGGGCACAAAGAGGGGAGGGTGTGAGGCTGCTGAGGG